TCAAAATAACATAAATATCGTACTAAAAATAAAATATATGGTTACAAATTGATTCCAATTACCTGTTTTTTTTCATATTTATATATTATGTTTTTTAGTTTACCCGACATTCGCCTTTTTCTCTGTTTTTGCACTCAAATCAGAAAAGAAAAAAAAAACAGTCCTTGTGTTCATATCGTCAGCCGGAAAACGACAAAAGGAAAAGCAGCACGCGTGCCCCCTCCATTTCCCTCTTTTTCAGATTCCTCTTCTTCCGCTTTTTAATTATTTTCGCCGGCGTTCTGTCTTTTCCCCTTTTGGCAGGGAGGCGGCGGAGACTGCATTCAGGCCAACGGAGGAAGCAACCCGGCGAACGGCGGCGGGTCCGAGAGCAGCATGACGATGACGGAGCAGCAGGTGGCGAAGCTGATGGAGGAGGACATGGGTTCGGCGATGCAGTACCTACAAGGGAAAGGGCTCTGCCTCATGCCGATCTCCCTCGCCACCGCCATCTCCACCGCCACGTGTCGCAACCAGCCCTCGTCGCCCAACTTGTCGGTCCTCACCGGCGGGGACGTCGCGGTCAAGGACTCCACGTCAGCTACCAAGCCGTGATCGTCACGCCGTTTACTCTTGACTTCGAGGGGACTTTTATCCGGTAAATAAAAAAAAGAAAAAAAAGGAGGGAAGGAGACGGACGGAGACGGGAAGTGGTGATGACGTGTGCGACTGCGAAAGACTAGTGTAGTCTGACGTGGATGGATGGACGGAACGGGTTTTTCTGATTTCTGCAAACGGAACGTTGACGAAGTCTACGGAAATAAGGGGTCGAATTGACTGACGGAGAATGAGTGGGATGCACGACGTCGTATTTGCTTAGACTTTGTTTTCTACATTTTAATTATTAATTAGTATAGAGCTTTAGCTAACCGCTTTTTTAAATTTTATTATTCTGTATTTTATGTTGTATTTTGCTTTTTGCTCTAATTTCAACAAGACCACTACGGTTACCAAAAAAAGACAAGATTCGACCAGATCCCGAGAAGGAGAAGAAGGGATTTTCTTTTGTTTTTTTAGGGAGGAAAAGAGGTTTACTACATCATGATTAATTAATTAAACTAATTATCGTGTATGTACTTAAAAATCAATTTTATAGCGAGTTGGATTAATAATAAAATTGTTGTTTCCGGCCTCGTTTGTTGAAGGATTCCAAATAACTCGTTTGTGCTAATTAAGTATAGTGACATTAGTTGATGAAGGTACAATGAATTATTGGTTTAGTGGTCTTAAAAGCTAAGGCGGGGCAGTACTGATTTTGTCCTGGTTGGTTCAAGTCCTATTGATTTTTTTTACCTATTATTCTTGTTTAATTTTTTACTTAGTATTAGTATATGTTTGTCTATCTAAGAATTGATTTTATGATTCAAGACCTATTGATTTTCGATTTTTTCTTCCTGCTCGTTCTTTTGTGCAGCTGTAGTGTAGATGCATCTATTAGAAAGCGAGAAAGATTAGTTGTGGAATGTGTGTTGGTTAGGAACCTAGGATTGCATTAGGTCAAAATTGATTTCGATTTGGCAGGGTTTTAATTTTTGTATAAGTTCACGTGTCTATCATTGGATCCGAGACATAGAAGTTGTGTTTATCACGCGAAATCAATTGAATTATAAGGACCGTTGTTGTTTAGTCATGGTTTCCATGAAATCATATGTGTTTATTGAACCAGGATCACATGAAATAATATGTGTTTTGAATAAACAACAGTTCATAAACAAACCTAAACAACAATTAGTTAGCAATAACAACAGTATACGATGTGACTGATTGAATAAAGTTTGAACGATAGCAAAGAACTAGAAACAACAGACAAGGTGGTCTACACTCAATGAGCTTGACTCCATCAAAGACCATGGGTGATAATTCTATGTATAGGAGATTAGATTTGATTAATGAGTACTCTTTGGCTTGTTTTGGTTGAAACTTTGGAGGAAAGGAAGAAAGATAAATAACCCTAAAAAAACCAAAAGAATCGTGTCCCATGTGGATTACATTTTAAGTCAACGGCGTGTCACTTTTGAAGCCTTTTCTTCTTAATTTCTTCTTCTTGTTGTTTTGTTTTCTTATGTTGATTAAGTTAGTAAGGGAATCTAATAAAGACTACAAAAGAAAGAGATTAGAGGGTTAGCTCATACTTTATTGAATGTATGTATTTGGTTTTGTATTTAAGTTTGTGGGTTTGTTACACTTCAAACAAAGAGTGGTTAGTGGGTCTGCCGCCGAACTATAGTACTTAATTGGGGATTAATCACACCATAGAGTTAATTCACTAATTAATTAACCAATTAGTATATGGCATACTCCCCTTACCACCTACCTAATGTCGTCCACTAGTTGTTTGATGAATTGTTGTTATTGAGCCTACTCATTCGGATTGTTCACGAGAAGTCTTTTCGTATGATTTTTTTTTAAAAAGGGCATGTCGATTGTATTACTTTCAATTTTTAGAGCATGTTGTGGATATAACTTTATTATCGTCAGTTCGATCATCCAATTATCTCGACACTGTCTCAAATTTCAAATTCTGTAACTATAAACAATCAAATGTGAGAATTTACGGGAGAAAATCATTGACTATTTACTAGTACTTCTACTTATTTTGAACTTGTTTTGTATTTGTAAGTGGTTAAGTAGCATACATGGATCTCTCCCAACATCTCGAGTTATTGGGACCAGTTCATTTATAACATGGTATCATAGCTAATTTATACTTGAGGTCACATGTTCAAGTCCTCACACACCCCCTCCCCCATATTAACCGTTGTCTTTAAAGCACATGGTATGAGGAGACATGTGTAAACTTCAAGTCTAGAGTCCCTTTCGTTTAAGGGGGCGTGAAAGGAAGTGGTAAACTATTATAGATTGTTGATATGACTTGAATCGGACTATCAGCCGCTACGACTGGTAATCGGGGGTGTCAGATTGGTTTAGGTTTAGACCCACATGGAGAAGTACTATAAATACTTCTCATACTCCTCTGTAATCTGTAATCTCCTTGATATAGTGAAATCGGCTCTCTCTCGCCTGTGGACGTAGCTAACACACATCGTGTTAGTGAACCACGTAAATCGTGTGTCGTGTTTTCGATTCTCGCTTTCGTATTCTTGCTTTGTCGATCCCGGCGATTTCCCGATCCGTAGCAGCGCGTCTATAACATAGATGGACCTCTCACAAAACTAGAGTTATAGGGACCATTTGGTTTATGACACTATTAATTCATAAATTTATATTATAAAAACAAATCTACAAGAAAATATAAGTGTGTTAGTTGTTATTATGCCCTGTTTCATCATATTTAACAAACACCCAAAACAATTTGTGTATCATAACACATCCTCATTTTTTTATGAAGTCCGGTAATTCAATAAGTTGCTAGAAGGGAAGTTCTGTAGCCATATATTACTTGGCTCGAATTAAAGTGATGACAATCATACTTACCTACTTTGAGATGATTTATCCCATTGATACAATTCAACCCACCAAAGGGGAAAAGGTCCCTATCTCTATCTAATTTCTAATCTCTATTATTAGGCATGGTAATTAAAAAGAGTAAACAATCTGCTGTAAGAGACCTGAAGGTTGGAGTTCCGTTTTACCAATGCATTTCTCCAAAGAGAAGCTAAGTGCTGAAGTAAAATAAGATATCATGGTTAGAAGTAATTAGTAATTACCATTATAGGGTGGTTCAGGATGACAAGGCATAGGGATCACAATCCATAATTATAAGAAAAAATTTATGGTGGCTTTCTATAAAATTGATATTATCTTTTATCGGATATTCATGATGATCTGTATTGTCCTAAACCAGTTGCTCTCCATAACTCGAATTATTAGAATTTAGGATCAATTGGTTCTTAACATGATATCAGAGCTGATTTGATCAAGTGGTCATGTGTTCGAATCTCCACGACCTACAATATTAATCATTGTATTCAAGCATATAGTATGGCGGGCTGTGCAAACTTCAAGCCCATAGATTGGCTTTTGTTTGAGGGGGCGTGTTAGAGAATGGTATAAGATCCAACATAACCTTCTCCCAACTCGAGTTATTGGGAGCAACCGGTTCTTCACAGGTTTAATCTCGAACGTATGCTTAAGCCGATATCTAGTTAGTTTAATGTTTTGAGTTTTGACCCCCCCACTCCACACCCACCCCACCCCAACTAATCACAATTAATTAACCACAAGTAGCCACTGATTATAAACAAACTAGGTGGTTAAGACAACAGATTCACTCGATCAGAAACCTTGCTCTGTCCTACCTGTCACTCTCCCCCCTCCCATATCCCCACGTGGCAAGCTGTTCAAAGAAGAAGAAGAAAGTCATTTGGATAAGCCCTTCAGCCAGCCGAATGAATCTGGCAGAATGTGATGAAGTTTTGGTGTATCAGAATTGGAACCATTTGTTTAAGAATTGCAGCAGATCTTAAGGTTCAGAAATGAGAATTAACACTGCAGAAAGGCACATGGGAGAATTAAGTGACTTGCTCCCCACAACGTTTTCAGCATATGGGGGATTAAACAAAAGGCTTTATAGTAGTAAGCCCATGCCATTTCCTCGCAAGGCAAAGTGAATCAGATCAAGATCAGAGCTCAATCAGTGCAGCAGATGGAATCAAAACAAGCTGTTAGGTTCAGGCTGGTATTATTATCACCAAATCCCCATTATAATAAAGCCTCCTTGAAAGGAAAAGTTGACAAATTTACTCTCAAGACTTTCTAACATCCATCTGGGGGTTGAGGAGAATTCATGGAGGGAAAGGTTGCAGCATTCCCTCAATCTCTTGAGATTCAAGCAATTTCAAGAGGGTAGTTTCATGAAAACCCTACAGAATTGAAGCAGCACCTACCCAGACTTTTGTGGGGATATATACCTGTAGACAAGTTTCACTGCTCATAAGTTCAAACTCAGGTTCTACTTTGAAGTTCAGAACTGGAAATGGTAGTTTCTAAAGTTCCTTCCTGTTTGTAAAGACTACTCTAGTAAGCATTGAGAAGTAATTAGACCAGAAACAAGTGTGAACCACAGACTATAGACAGTAAATCGATTAAGAACAACAGTCGACAGCTACATGCTTCAGTTTTTAGTTCCACTACATCACCACAAGAACAATAGTGCATTGTTCTAAGTTTGAGTGAGACGGTTAATATAATCAGATCACAATCACAAAGCGAGCGAGCGAGCAAGCAGTGAACTCCTTTAATTGGCCCAGAACTCAACCTGAATACCAAACCTTGACCATAGCGATGATCCTGAACCAAGCTCTATACCCCTGCCAAAAATGAGTAAACTTGAGCTAATGAAGGCACCATTAAACATCCCCTAAGGGATCCATACATTTATCTTCCAACTAAAAGAATCTTATTCAATCATCCTCTTTCTGGTATCCAGCATATTCGTGCAAAACGTGCTGATCCCAACACAAGAACCCATGTCAAAGTTGGAAACTTCATAACAAGATCTCATCTTTATGCATTGAGCTATGTACAGCTATGAAACAATGCACAGAAACAGCATTTGGAGACAACCCACATAGCCAAAAACCCTAAAACCCCTAATCGTAAAAGTGGTAAGAAGATTCAGTTCTGAAGTAGCAAAGAACTAACTCATTAACCTTTCTGTGGAAGTACCAACGGACCTCCCCTGGTTTCCTTGTCATCCAATAGCCTCTGCACCCTCTTCTCCTTACAATACAGCCGATCGAAATGCTTCACCTAATCAAACCAAACATCAAACAAAACAAACCCCAATTTCCCAATTCAAATTTCTTTTTATGGAGAAAAATGAATTTCAACTATCCCTGGCGTTTAGATTCAGTTCAGATCATTTTTACCCAAGAAGGCCGGCAGCTGTTCTCGTACGCAAGCCTCGATTTCTTGCACTCGGCCGGATATAGGAGCCCGACGCAGCCGAGTTCCGTCGGTTTCTTGTCCGATTGCTTCTGCAAACAATCGTAGAAAGCATCGCGAGCCTGTAGAACACTGTAAATTGCAATCTGACGAGTCTTTTATTGAATGAAAGCCAAATACTTATACTTGTCAGTGCAAACCACAAGATTGGTTGCTCCCAACGTTCACTAACCGAGAATCAAGCTAAACACAAACCAGCTAACAACCTTACTCGCAGAAGACTCTCAACAGACTAACAACTCTTGACTGGACTAAAAAATAACAAAACACAAAGTAAAGGACCAGCATGGTAATAAAGCAAACGACGCAGTATTGCTCAAACTTGCAGCAGTAGTAATTTGAACAGCTTCCTTTGGCGCGCTTCCTAATCCTTGTGAGACAAGGATTCCTTCTTCAACATATCCTCCCCTGAACTGAACCCTTCCAATTCACGCTTCAGTTCACTTACCATCTCCAATCTTCACTGGTCTTCGAATTCAGAGAGATCACACATACCAAGCTCTGCTCTCAGCCTGTGAAAGGCTTCTTGAGATAAAGCCTTGGTCATAATATCAGCCACTTGCTCCCTTGTCCCACACTGCTGCAACTCCACAACTTCATCTCGAACCAACTCCCTCAGGAAATGAAACCTTACATCTATATGTTTGCTCCTTCCATGAAGAACTGGATTTCTGGACAGCTTTATAGTCGAGCTGTTGTCACATCTGATCTCAGTGGCCTTCTTCACACTTGATTCCCATCCAATCTCAGTTAGAACTCTTCTCAACCACACTGCCTGTGCTGCACAGTAGGCAGCAGCCACGAACTCAGCCTCAGTAGTTGATAGGGTCACCACAGGTTGCTTTTTGGAGGCCCAGGAAACAGCTCCACCTGCAAGGAAGAAAATGTATCCACTGGTACTCTTCCTGTCATCATAATCATCTGCATAGTCTGAGTCTGTATATCCTAACAGACTTCCTTCTCCATTCTCCCTTCTGTACCATATACCACTGGTGAGTGTGCCTTTTAAGAATCTGAGAACTCTTTTAGCTGCTAGTAGATGCTGCTTGGTGGGTGCTTCCATGTACCTGCTTAATAAGCATACAACAAACATCAAGTCTGGTCTGGTGGCTGTAATGTACAGCAGACTTCCAATGAGCTGCTTGTACTCAGTGGCATTTACCAAACCTCCATCTCCAGCTTTAGTTAGTTTTGCTCCAGGAACAAGTGGATTATGGACAAAATTGCAGTCAGCAAGATTGAATCTTGCTAATACCTCCTTTGCATACTTCTGCTGACATATGAATATGCCAGTTTCCTTCTGAATTACTTCCACCCCTAAAAAGTATTTCATTTTGCCCAAATCTGTCATCTCAAATTCTGCTTCCATCGATTTTTTGAACTCAGCAACCATAGCAGCATTAGTACCAGTGTAAAGTACATCATCCACATAAATGCTTACCAGTAGTACTCCCTCACCAGAGTGTTTGATGAACAATGTGGCCTCATATGGACATTTTTGGAACCCAGCAGCCAAGAAATGAGCTTCTATTCGACTGTACCAGGCCCTGGGAGCCTGCTTTAAGCCATACAGGGCTTTCTTGAGTTTGTATAATTTGGATTCCTCCCCAGCAACCACAAATCCTTGTGGTTGCTCAACATAGACATCCTCAGCAAGTTCTCCATGGAGGAATGCGCTTTTGACATCAAGTTGCCAGACTGGAACTCCATGTTGTGCAGCAAAAGCCAACAGGCACCTGATAGTATCCCATCTGGCTACTGGAGCAAAGACCTCATTGTAGTCTATTCCCAGCTTCTGAGCATATCCTTTGACAACCAACCGAGCTTTATGTTTATCCAGAGCTCCTGTTTCAGTAAACTTAGTCTTATAAATCCACTTGAGACCAATGGGAATTATACCTGCAGGCAGATCAGTTAATTCCCAGGTGTTGTTCCTGTCAATGGACTTCATTTCCTGCCTCATTGCTTCATTCCAGACTTCTTTTGTGGCAGCTTCTTCAAAGGATTGAGGATCTTCAGATACTGCAATCATAGCCAGCCATTCTGGTTGCTCACTTTCTATGCTGTTGCAGTCATATATAGCTAGGTGACTTGGTGGCTTTCTTGATCTGGGGCCAAGATCAGTGCTTCGAGGTAGGCCTAGCACATCAGTGGCCTCATTTCCAGCATCTTCATCTGCAGCTTCAGGTACAGTAGGAGGTGTAGGAGTTTTTGGACTTGGAGGTTCTTCAGATTCTTCTTCCTCCTCATTTGTTTCATCAGGAACTGCAGTAGCTGAAAGGTGTGGCCCTTCTTCTCCATCAGAATCTTCATAGATATCATCACTTCCTTCCCATAGCAAACTTGTTAGGACAGGTTGAACATCAGATTTCCACTTCCAGCCCTTACTTTCATCAAAAACCACATCCCTACTCACCAGAATTTTCTGTGTTTCTGGATTGTAAAGTCTGTAGGCCTTTGATTCTGTGGAAATCCCCAGGAAATGGCACTGGACACTCTTATCATCCAACTTCTTTCTGAACTTGTCAGGTATATGTGCATATGCCACACAACCAAACACCCTAAAGTGAGAGACTGATGGGGGAGCACCAGTCCACAGCTCCTGTGGTGTTTTTCCACCATTAGCAACAGTAGGGCTTCGATTTAAAACATGTGTTGTCCAAGTTACAGCTTCTGGCCAGAATTTTGCAGGTACTAGAGTGTCTTTGAGCATGCATCTCACCATGTTCATGGTAGTTCTGTTTTTCCTTTCTGCCACCCCGTTTTGTTGAGGAGTTAGAGCTGCTGTCAACTGTCTCTTGATTCCAGTTTCATCACAAAGAGCCTGGAATTCATTTAACAAGAACTCTCCTCCCCTGTCTGTTCTGAGACACATAATTGGTAAACCAGTCTCCTTTTCAACCTGTGCCTTGAACTTCTTAAACCAATCCAAAGCCTCAGACTTAGCTGCTAGGAAGTAAGCCCACAACTTCCTACTGAAATCATCAATTATGGTAAGAATATACCTTCTTCCCCCATTTGAAATGGGTGTGATGGGTCCACAGAGATCTGCATGGAGCAGCTGAAGTTTCTGTGTGGCCCTCCACTGGCTGTGCTTTGGAAAGGCCTGCCTGGTTTGCTTGCCCACTTGGCATGTAGAACAGACTCCAACCTTCCCCTTCAGCTGAGGTATGCCTGTGATGAACCCCTTCTGTGTCACTTGTAGTAGACCCTGAGGATTCAAATGACCAAACCTCCTGTGCCATAGGCTCAAGGAGGTCTTCGAGGTATCTTCAGTTTGAATCCAATGAGCTTCAGTCTTGCCTGACTCATCTTTCAAGACAAACATTCTGTTTGATCTCATTGTGGTTTCTAGCAGAAACCCTCTTTCTTCATGATAGATTCTGCAAGTGTTCCTCTTTACCATGAACTCCAGCCCCTTCTCCTGCAGTTGGCCCATACTCAGTAGATTGGTTTTTAATCCAGGTACATAGAACACATTATGTACAACAAGATTCACACTTCCCAGCTGCAACTTTACTTTGCCTTGCCCAGCAACATCCAATCTAGTATCATTTCCCAGCCTAATCTTTCCAGCTTGAGTAGCTTCAAGAGATTCAAACCATCTCTTGTCTCCAGACATATGATTACTACAACCAGAATCCAGAAACCAATAATTGTCCATTGCTTCTGCTAGAGGTTCTTCCAGGAAAGCCATTAGCAGAACATCATCAGGAAGAGCATTTCTGTCACTTTTGTCACTGGAATAGGCTTGAGAATAGTGAGCTTGCTGATTTGTGTACCAGTCAGGGCATTCACTGCGATAATGACCCATCTTGTGACATTTGAAGCATTCAACATGCTCTCTATTCCAGCCTCTTCCTCCTCGCCCTCTTCCCCTTCCTTGCCACACACCAGCTCTGCCTGCTCCTCTTCCACCTCTACCTCCACCTTCATATGCCATTTTCAGTGCCTGATCTTTCTCCAAAACAGACTTCCTATGAAACTTCTGCTCATGAACAAGTAAGGAACTCTGCAGGGCATCAACAGAAAGGGTCTCTATGTCCTTGGACTCCTCTATGGAGCATACAACATAGTTGAACCGTTCAGTCAATGTCCTCAAGATCTTCTCTACAATCTTAACATCAGGCATCTCCTCTCCACAATTCCTCATGTCATTAGCCACTACCATAACACGACTGAAGTAGGCAGAAATAGACTCACCCTCCTTCATTTCAAGAACTTCAAAAGTTCTCCTTAAAGCCTGCAACTGAGCCTTCTGGACACGAGCACTCCCTTGGTATTTTGTCTTCATAGCATCCCAGAGTTGTTTGGAGGTAGCTTTGTTTGTGATTGTCTTCAGGATGGACTTGTCGATGGAGCTGAACAAGTAATTTTTGGCCTTGAGATCTTTCAGCCTGAGTTCATCCAGGTTCTTTGATTCCACAGCAGACAGTTGAACCCCAGCAGGATGCTCAGGGATTCCCTCACTGACCACTGACCAATACTCCTTGGATCGTAGGAGATTTTCCATAAGCAGGCTCCAGTGATCGAAATCACCATCAAACTTTGGCAACCCCACTTGAGCAAAGCCATTGTTATCACTCATGTTTTACAGATCACACACAACTCACAGCACTCAGAAATCACACACCCTTAAAACACCTCACCAGAGAACTCTCGTGTTTCCCAAACCCAGATCTTGCACTTCACTCTCACTTTCCTTAATCAATCACTCAGAATCTTTGCTTGAAAGCAACAATGGTTACAGCTTGCTAATGCTCTGATACCAAATGTAGAACACTGTAAATTGCAATCTGACGAGTCTTTTATTGAATGAAAGCCAAATACTTATACTTGTCAGTGCAAACCACAAGATTGGTTGCTCCCAACGTTCACTAACCGAGAATCAAGCTAAACACAAACCAGCTAACAACCTTACTCGCAGAAGACTCTCAACAGACTAACAACTCTTGACTGGACTAAAAAATAACAAAACACAAAGTAAAGGACCAGCATGGTAATAAAGCAAACGACGCAGTATTGCTCAAACTTGCAGCAGTAGTAATTTGAACAGCTTCCTTTGGCGCGCTTCCTAATCCTTGTGAGACAAGGATTCCTTCTTCAACAGAGCCTGCAAATTTTTTACCAGATTCGTTACCAGAAAGGAACAATCTCTGTTCACTCGATGGAAGGGGAGAAAATGGGGACCTTGTAGCACGCTTGTCTGGCTTGAAAGAGGACGTCCGTGTGGACTTCATCAGTGCTTCTCGATGCGTAGGCTTCCGACGCCATTGATGTATTGATCTTGCAGCTCCAGATAAAAACGCGGCACCGACTCCCCAACCCGCCGCCGGCAAGTGAAGGTAGGAATTTCTGGAATCCGGGAGCTGAATGCAGAAACTGGGCTGGACTTCGCGGGATTCAACATGGGCTTGGGCCTCGCCGAAATTATAAAGAGGGTGGAGATTAGTTTACTAGGCTCGCTATAAATGGGCCTCGAGATTGTCATGGCGGGCTGGGTTGGGTTTATGTCACAAGCAATTTGGCATATCGTTTTAGTTCTTACGTTGCTTGATTGCTTGCTGGAATTTTGGCCGTGGTACTTTGGCAATTTACTTCCATTTTCGTTTTTTGTTTTCATGCCATAACTTTGGCAACCGAAACGAAAAAACTTGTTTGTTTTTCATTCTGTTTTCTATTCGTTTCCAACTGTGAAAACAAAAAGTGGCAACTTCCTGTTGTTTTCGAAAATGACAAAATGTTGTTTTCACATGTTTTCAACATATGTTTTCTCAAAAACAGAAAACAGAAATGAAAGTAAACAAGCCATAAGTGTTGAAATCACAATATTTTGGAAGTGAAGTGAAGAATATTGTTGTATAAGATATGCATAATTTTGGAGGATTGTTGTGTTGGTATCGTTGGTCATTTAGCAGTTTATGAAACATGATTGCCTATTTAGTTGTTCGTCATTTTATTTTTTGTCGTGTGAGTTTTGCTTTGTTTATTGATCTCTTTGTAGATAAAATGCTACTGCTTAGACTCTCGATCTTGTATTGTTCCTCTTAATCAAAGTCATTTAGCGGGGTCGTAATTTGCTAATTTATTCCACAGCATGAGATCCATTTTTTTAATGATTCGTATTTTTTAGGCAAAGAAAAAGTCTTTTTTTATTGTTATTGTGGAAGGTAAATAATTGTACCTTTCTATATTGACCTTTCTATATCTTATCTTCTAACTTCTAAGCTTGTAGCTTTTGAGATGGTGCAATAGTCGCCTATGGCCATTAGGGCTAAAGTCCACAGTTAGGCCAACTATCAAGAGGATTCACAAACAAACAAAGAAGTACTTGAAAACATCTATAACCAAAGCACAAGAAAATGGTTATTTCACATTTATTACAATCCTCAGAAATGGCAATTCTCTTGTGCCGACACTACTCAATTCACTAGTTAAAAACTTAAAATACATCCTTCCGAATTCGACTCTCATTCTTGTCATCTATCCCCAAACCCCAAGCTAGAATCATACTAGCTAGGTTTCAGGATTGGTTTGGCATTTGAGACATATTGATTTCGAATCCTAATATTAACGTTTCAGGGTTATAGCTATGGTAATATGCAAATGTTCGTAATACTTATAAATAAATTATCTTAATGTTTTCATTGTCAAGGAGTAGTTGAAGTGTAAAGATATGGAGTTGATATGATATGTTTATGAGTTCAATTTCCACAAACCAATTTATGAATTCAAATCATCGGCTTCCTTAAATATTCGACATTCATGAGAGAGAAGCAGTCTCTGTATGCACCACATTTTAGCTCGTGAAATATCTTTGCATATGCGCTAGTATGTTTTCATTGTCAAGGAGTAGTTGAAGTGTAACGATATGGGGTTGATATGATATGTTTATGAGTTCAATTTCCACAAACCAATTTATGAACTCAAATCACCGTCTTCCTTAAATATCCGACATTCATGAGAGAGAAGCAGCCTCTGTATGCACCACATTTTAGCTCGTGAAATATCTTTGCACATGCGCTAGTACGTACGATCGATCAATTGGATCAACCGAGTGATAAATTCTCATGATGTTTTCATTGTCAATGGGTAGCTCAAGTGTAACGATATGGAGTTGATATGATATGACAATGGGTTCGATTTCCACAAACAATACGTTAACTCAAATCCCGCGCTTCTTAAGTTTTTCGACATTCATGAGACAGAAGTAGCCTCAAACATAGGTGCGCCAACATTTTAGCTCGTGAAATATCTTTTTATAGGTGCTAGTACGATTCGATCCATTGGATCGATGGGTGAGATTATTGAGAAGGTACTAGATTTGGTGTTTGAGTGACCCACCACACATATTGTCTTTGAAATTCATATATATGGTACGTACTAGACAAGGAGGCGCCTGCTCCATTTATATCATAGGTCTCCATCTCGTCGTCCTTTGCCTCATTGCCTTGGCTAGTTGCAAGCATACTTCATTATCATCAATGGTGTACTCTCTCTCTTCCCCACTCACACTCATGCCATAAGGTTTTTGTAACTCTCTCATCCAACTTTATCCTTTTATGGCATTCAACTACCATTCCAAATGGAGAAAATTACCCATATCTTTTGGTTCTTGCTTTGAACCCTAAAACACATATGCACCCAACTCATGTTTCCACACATATGTGTTTTGTAAAACGTGTTTAGGTATATGAGTTGTTGGGATAGTGTGATTATTTGGAGTTTTTTTCCCTTTTCCAAGGACAAGAGCTTTGGCCTCTTCTCTTTTCTTGTTCTGTCAACCATTGAATAGAAGACCTAATTTTTACGTATATTACTGACAACTAGCTAGTCTCAGAGATGAAAGGTCAAAAGACGCGAATGAACATATAAATGAGTATGTTAAATGATGAAAGTACATCAAACCAAGTGCAATAGCTACGGGCTAGTGGTCCCTTCGGGGACATCTGATAAAATTGGAACGATACAGAGCTACGGGCTAGTGAATGGAATTGGAGGAAAAATGAAAGTCAAGAAGATGAACTACATATGACATGACATAGTATGAAAGTCAAAACCCCTTACGATATCTAGTTGTAATTCAGTTTAAACTCGAAAATTTGTATTGAGCACATTGTCAATTTATGCCACCTTATGTACCACAAAATATGGCCATCTATACACCATTATTTCGCATTGAAAATCTACAGCAATACACATTATACCCTGATCGGTTGGAGGATATTCGAGCAAGCCAAGGAAGGAAAATGGGTTAGGGGTCGAAAGATACCAAAGTACCAAAAAACAGCACCAAGTTCCATCCATATGTGAGAACGTCCATTTTTATTCGGTTGTCTTCGGCCTCTTATACATTGATTTCGAGAAAAAAGTGTCCTACCTTTGTTGAAAAAATATGATGCTTTTGGTTAATTAATGGAGGAAGTGTAATAATGCATAATAACAATATATTTAAGCTTAATGGGTTTTAATCCATTCATTAAATAGGTGTACTAATTGATTGATTAGGGGTACTACCACCTAGGTCCTCTCCATATAAAGTAGAGAATAATTTTTCCCTAAAAAGCAAATCACATCATTATAAACAAACCATCAGTCCATCACCGTACACAAGAGATTAATGAAGTGTACCAATTATAAATGAGTACGGTCACGATTGGTCTAAATAAGCTTTTTTTAGGAGCCTAAGATATGTTGATTTTTATAGTTAGTTGTTTTTCGTAAAATTTTTAATATGGGATTTCCAGATTCAAGACTCACATTACTATCACCAGGTCAGCCTCTTGTTTGCAAAATTTAGGATTGGGCGATTTGAATCATGGTCATTGGGAAGGAAAGTAAAGACTTACCAATTAGATAGGCATATATAGACGAACTCGTTTATGTTCATAGAGTACCTATGAAGCAGTTAATACCTAACTTACATAATAAATTAAGTTCAAACTATACAAATTAAATCACATCGAATTTGTCATCCATGTCGTACAATACTTTACAGGGCGACTAATTTTGCATCCATCTCGCACACCAAAGACTTCATGATTGATTCCTCATTTTACTCTTTCTTAGTTCATTTACTAATATACAAACTATTCTTTCCAAATGATAGTTTGGAGAATTTAATTCTAATCTCTCCATTTAAAAGAATCCAATGGTTTTTCATTCTTCGGGTCTGTTGAAAAAATGGTTAAAAAGTCCATTGTAATTTCTAGCATGTAATGAGAATAATTGAGGGAAATTCTAACAAAAGAAAAATTGCTCTTCATGAATCCATGAATTTGATATCTATGATTTTCAAAGATTTGAAATCCCTAAGCATATCATCTATGATATAAATAGCAAAAGAAAATTGCTCTTTAGGAATCCATGAATTCTATAAATCATGCTTCAAATCCCATTCTCCAAGAAAAAAACGAAAACAACAAAGATTTTCTCTTGATCACATATAACTAAAACTAAGGGTGAACATCGATTGATTATGTCTAGAATCAGATTGAATCGAGATAGGATCAGATTAAAAGCATGTTTGGTTCATTTTTTTTATTCAATCCGGTCCATTACTCCTGAAATAATTTGTACAATCAAAACAAAGTATAAATATATTTTATCCAAATATTGATGTAATACAATTCGGTCGGGTGTAGACCTCATTTCTGACCCTATATAACTACAATTCTTTTTAGATAAATACAATCTAAATCTTTAATTTTAAATAATATAATAGCCAAACCTTTTCGAAAACAATCTAATATCCAAATCGTCAACTTTCTGTCCATTTGACCGTTAGTTGATACTTCAAAAAAGTTCGAAGTACGACACTTCATCAATATCCATCGATATCGTCTATGAAAAACCACCAACATATCGTGGTTCCAAACCCGAAAAGTCCATGACTCCACCATGATGGTATAAAATATCTAAATATTCAGACATCTGAAATGCCAAAACAAGAAAACAAAGTTGTATTGTGACAATTTCCCCTAAACAAAGCTTTTTTGAAGTGTCAACTAACGGTCAAACGGACGGAAAGTTGACGATTTGGATATTAGATTGTTTTCAAAAAGATTTGACTATTATATTGTTTAAAAATTAAAATGAAAGGTTTGGTTATTGAATTGTATTTCCATTTTTTTACTACTCTAATTTCCTCATCCCAAATGATGATGGATTAAAATCAAAAGGGAAAAGATGTAATTATGGCCGTTATGTTTGACCAAACAGCAAACCAGAGACATGACTATGAGATAGGACAATAAGTGTAAGATATAGGGCAACCAACTTTTTCATAAGGATAGAAATGAGAAGTAATGGAATCTTTTGGGGGAAGCATATGAAATTCAAAAGTTCTACTAGTGCTAGTAGTCTCACTAAAGTTCTGTTTCCTTCATTGAGGGATGTTGATGGGATCATTGAGAATATAAATTGAAGTTTTGTTTTGAACGTGCAAAAATCTAAATCAAGGAATCGACCGAGAAGGAGAATAACAAGAAAGAATACAATCCGAACTAAGGACTGGAGTATAAATTAGGGATCAAACCCAAGATTATACGGTATAAATCAGATCATTTATATGTGGTGTGGTCTGGTACGGTCCGAACGAGGCAAATCATGTTGAGTAAAGAATGAATAATCTATTTGGTTGCCAAACCAATCGTAATAGAACCAATACCAAGAAGAAGAGAGAACTATGTCTTGTTTTGAACGTAAATTTCCAACATGCATGCATAATTTTGATTCTCTAGATCCAAGCAAATAACAAAAATGCAAAGTCAGTGCAATACAACTTCTACCTTGATATCACAATCATTAACATAATGTCGTATGGAGGAGTGTGGTCGGTGGAGGAAGGAGGAGACGAAATTCGTGAATTTTGGTTTGGGAGTTAGGGGTTTTATTGGGACTGGGGTGAGTGGCCAAGTGAGCTGCTAACCCGGGTTTGAAAAGTGGGCTGACTAGTCCATGGTCAGTTCAGCAAAACGTCGTATGAAACTAGACTAGATCAAGAAATCAATTACAACCCATGTATAATACATATCATACCCAAACTAAACCATCTCTAAACGTCTATGATTTTCACCAAATTGTACGATCCTGATTAGTCCACGAATTTTGAAACGATTATGTCTATCTCCTTGGTATGATGTCCTTGGGTACATAGTACTCATTAGGGGTGGAAATCAGTACGGTATCGGTATCCCAATACCAAATACCGAATCTCAAATACCGAATTATACCTGAAAGTCAATTCCAATCCCAATCTCTAAATAATTTCGGTATCCCAATCCCAATCCCTAAATATTCCGGTATCCCAATCGGTACTTCGGTATCCCAATCGGTATTATCGAATACACAATTAATTACATTTGAAATAAATAATTAAATATATAAATTAGATTTGATTGTTTAATTTAGGGCAGAGAGACTAAGCAAAGAGATTTGAGTTTGCCTAGAGCTAGGATATGGATAAGGAGAATGTAGGAGAGGTGACATCTCAAGTTTTTGTCATTGGTAATCTTTAATTGACGAATTGAAGGCTGATAGTCGACTAATACTAGTGTTTGCTTTTTGATGTTATGAAAATAACAAGTTATTAGGTGAGAGTTGAGTGACTTAAATTGGAAAGTCAAAATTGAGTTGGATGGGGACTTTTGAGTTGTGAAACAAAGATGAAATGATCTATGTATCATCAAATAACACTCTTGGTGGTTGAGGGTTGTGTAGTAGTGAATGAGAGAGTCTAGTTGAGAGAATAAAATACACACTAGCTTATATTTCGGTATTGATCGGTATTTCGGTATACCGATCCCAATCCCGTAATCTCTAATACCGAATTACAATCGAAATGCAATCCCAAGAATAATACGTGTATTCGGTAATACCAAATATAGACAAATTCGGTACTGTATTCGGTATATATCAAATACCGGTACCAAACTTCCAGCCTAGTACTCATCCCTTGATGAATCTTTATTGCCTTTGTGGCTACGTACATTTCCCTAACAAAAAGATAATCTCAACTCTACCGTTGTACATAATTTTCATATTTGTTTAGACTAAGATTCGGACTAGTTTTAGATGATTCATATTTTTTATGGTGAAAATTTAGGATTGGAGAAGAACGAACCCAATTAGAACCAACCTATAGGAAGAAGGGATGTGTTGTCGGTTCGCTATTTGTGCCGATTAATTAAAAAATATATAAACGCAAATTGGAATCGAACCAACCAGAAATTTTGAGGCCCCACCGTCTCCGTATCGTGTACCCGCCATCCAACGGCTGGAAAGCCATCGCGTGAAGACCGCCTACAAAACGGAGCGACAGCAGGTCGCCACGTGTCGGCAACCAAGTCCTGTGAGCCAGTAAACGCTCGACAAAGAAGCAGCAGTCCCCCCACCAGCCCGAAGTCCGGTCCACCACCGTCCTCTGCCGTCACTCCCCACTCAACAACAAACGAGCTCTCCCCGGATTCAATTCAGTGCACCCAAAAGGAATCCATAGAGAATTTCTGGGTCACCATTAAAGAAGGGTTCCCCCTTTGAGTTTTGTATTGTTCATCATCTTCTTCTTCTTCTTCCTCCCTCCCTTCCTTCCTTGCTTGCTTACTCATTTTAATTCGTTCTTCTCGCGGCAGCTGAATCATGCGTTGGTGGGTTTTTCTGCTCTCCATCGTTGATGGATGAGGGTGATTAGGATCTGGGTAGGGGAAGGAAGCTGAGGTTTTTGAGGAGTTTAGATGCTGATCTGTGTTTTCCTTCGTCCTGGGCTCACCTTTCTTGTTGCAGAAACCCTAGTGGTTAGCACTTAGCACGGCTTTGTATGATTATTTCATTGGTAACGGTTAGTTGGATGGATGAAGATTGAAATCCTCATCTTCTAGTACCATATGGAGATTGAGCTGTAGTGGGTCTTTTGGGTTTCCTTCTTTTGTGGTTGGGAATTGGGAGAGGTGGAAGGAAATGAAGGAGCTGGACAGGTGTTGAACCAACGATTGTGGGGTGGGTTTTTACTTTTTTTTTGCCAAAAATGGGAAAAATTTCAGATCTGCCCATTGGGGTTTTGGGAATATAGGGGTTTCTTTCTCACTGGTTTAGAGATAGAGATAGAGATAGAGAGAGAGAGAGGGGGGAAAGAGGAGAGGAGGTGAGCAAAGCTGACAGAAGAGAGTGAGCACACAAACAGGCAATTGTATGAGGCGAGTACCTTTGCGGGGTGCGTGCTCACTTCTCTTCTGTCATCTTCCTTTTCTCTCTTGGAAAGAAAAGACCCTTCCCCCTTCCCTCATCCCCCTCACCTCTATCTGCTATTCTGCTTGCATGCTTTACTGTAGCTGATGATATGGGTCATATTAATGCTCCCTTTGCCATATTTATGTTAAATGTCTTCGTGTCACTCTTTCACATGCTATATGGATTGCAGCTATTGCAGATCTCTGTGTATATGGTGCTCTCTTTGCCATATTTATGTTAGATGTCTTCGTGTCACTCTTTCACATGCTATATGTATTGCAGCTATTGCAGAGCTCTGTAGATATGATGTTCTGGCAGGCTTTTCCCTTTGCTCCCCATTTTCTTTCCTTTCTTGTGTAATTTCATGGCCTTCCTTTCGCTCCTCTGTCTCTCTCTCACGCAATTCACAGGCAGCAGCCAGGTGGGTTATTAGTAGGGGCGGTGGTGGTAAGATCATCGGTTCTGTTGCTTTCTTTGGTACACTTATTTCTCTGAAGTTTGCAAATAAGTACTAGTTTACGAAATATATTGGAAGATTCTGTCAAAACTGTTGTTTTGGGGGGAAGGAATATTTGGATTATGAAGCTCATCACCATCATCAAGAAGAAGAAGAAAAGGCAATTTCTTTCGAAGTAAGTTTACTTCGTGTAACTATAGCATATGTACTTTCTCTTATTTTATATTGTTTAATACACAGAACGAGGAATGGACAAGCTTTGGCCTCAATTGAAAAGCGTGGAATTCGATGGTACCTCTTCGGCAAAGGAAGAATTGAAAGCCGGGATGGAGGGAGGGAGACCGGAGGAGAATGGAATGGTACTTGCTAGCTACTGTTCATGCTTAACGGAAACCGTATTCTCTCTTTTCTTTCCCCCAAAGTTTGCACCTTTATCTGCATAGTTAATTACTCAAAGCTTATCTTATTAAACCCTTTTCTTTCCCTTTTCTCTCGTTAGATCTGTGATCCCTTCTTCCTTCTTCCTGCTTATTTTTTCATGTTTCTTCGATGCCATGCTAGAACTGAAGAAAGTTGATGCTTTTAGGGTTCCGTTTCTGTGATTTTGGGTTTTGGGGTTTTTTTTGGGTCATATGGATTCTCAGCTTCAAATGGGGTTTCCATAAAATCACCCGATTTTGTCGAGATTCCATGCAAATCGATTGATTCTGTAGTTATATCCATCTGTCCGACTATCTTCCCCCACTCACTGTTCCTTCCTGAAGAAACATTTTGCTGTGGTGTTAAGGTTGAGAGAAGGAAGCTTCCCGGAAATTGGCCAGATTAGAGTCTGTCGGTCTTCCCAGCAGCGGCAAAATCTTATTTGGCGCCATATATGGGAAGGAATAATTGTTTCCCTTTCTGGGGAGACTATTTTGTAGTTATTGAAGGGCAAAGTTTCCATCTTTACAGGTTCGTCAAGTTGATTTCCTTATGTCGGACTGATTTCTCGCCTACTCTTTCTCGTGTTCTTCTATAAAGGAAGCAGCTTGACAGTTCGGTTTATTTTGCCCCGTTCTATTTGCTTGCTGTTATCTGCAGATGGAACAGATATTGTGTTTGCTTTTGGGGTTGGGGAAGGGACTGGCTGCTGCTGATACTACAATTTGAGGAGCTAATCATCAGGTAGCAATGCTATTTTTTTTTTTGGGGTTCTGCTTAGATGCATTTCAGTTCTGTTGGTTTACTTCTGATTTTATGTTGATGGATATTGTCTTGGTTGTAGCTTGCTTAGTTTGAAATCTCTCTCATTGAGAATGACATAGCTGCTCTATTTTCTTACTAGAGTGCTTCTTCTTTTAAGCTAATTCGTGGTGTGTTAGTTGCCTTTATTTATTTAGCTTATAAACCATGTTGATAGATTTGTGATTGCAGCACCACATTGTATTCAGAGAGAGTTGATTGATTGTTTTGGAAGATATATTTTTTTTTATGATGATTTTGACTAGAAAGTATGTGGCATTGGATATAGAAAGATAGCTGAGGATGAGTGGCTTTGAAGTTCCTAATAGTACATGATGATGAGAAAAGTTTCTTGGTGTAAGTTTCAGGAGGATTTTTTTCTGCATGGTCCTTTGTTCTTAATTGTGATGTTGCCAGTACTTTTTCAGCCTGTGCTTTGGATAAGTATTGGGATAGCTTGTACTGTTGATTTGGTTGGGGATAACTATCAAATTCTAGATCAAACCATTGATAGCGACAGGAAGTTTTGATTTTTTTTATTGAAAAGTGAATTCCAGAAGATATGGATCATCAGTTCTGAGATTACAAGGCTGTGTTTCAAACAAGTGATTGGTGCACAAGAGAACAGGTTTAAATTCACATGCATGGATATAGTGACATTTAAGAAATTAGTCATTTGGTGTTTTCTTTTTTTGTGGCACTGATTGTAGAAGAGGCATAGATAATGGCCTTCTTTCTTCTGATTTTGATGTAGATTGAATTGAATATAGGCAACTGATGGATTTAAGTATTAAGATTTGCAAGTCATCAGGGACCAACGAGTTATTTAAGCCGTCTTTACTTACGCCTGAAGTCTTCTTGAACTAGGTTTTTTGTTTGAGTGGTACAACGTTATGTTAAACTGATTCGTAGACGTTCATGCTGTGGTATTAATTGTTGAAAATGATCTTGAACACTAGTTTCATTTTTGTGGCAAGTTTTCATTTTTTGGAATTTATAGTTGGAGATGATCCTGAACAGTAGGTAGGTTTGATTTCCTTACTGCTTTCGGTATCTTAACATTTATGATTCGTATCGTTAAGGAGTTTGAGCTGTTTGTTTTCTTTCTGGAGTGTTCTCCGATTAGATACTTATTTAAAAGTGTTTTGTTGTTTTCAGCTAAACGGTAATGTTAATATCTAGTTAATATTTGATGATGATCTAGAGTACTAGGTCAGTTGATTGGTAAGTATCATTGTTATGAAATTAGTAGGTGGAGATGATCCTGATGATTGGTTCTTGTATATGCCTTAATATCATGATTGGTATTGTGCCATGGAACATAGATCAATTGGTGAGCATCAGGATTGTGGAAATAATTATAGGAACGATGTTGAACAGTAGGTCTAATTTGCTCGCTGTTTTCTATATCTTAGCATTCATTATTCATGCTGTGTGATGGAATAAAAGTTTCTTGAGAATAGTCAGAATTGGCTAGATCATGATTTTTCTCTCGAAAATGGACCTGGATGCACTTAGTTTAATATGACTAATCTCAAGACTTGAAGAATTTTGGAATTATTTGACGTAATGTCCCAATATGCACACAAATAAATGTTTTGGAGCGTAATTACTAATTACTCTATAAAGTCAATAGCGGACAGGCCTTGAGTTGAACTCTTAATAAAGTTACCAATTTTTGCGTGTGTTCTCCAATTGATTGTTAGTTTTATCCTTGACTGTACTTCACCAAAATATTTGATTGATCTTCAATGCATGGTTTGATCTTTAACAACTCTCCTTGCTAATTCAAAACTTAGGCAGATTTCTCGTATTTGGAATTGACTTCATATGCTATTTTCCATTTCCTTGATATTTGTTCAAATACAGTTGGTTTAATCCTTTACATTGTTTGACATTCGTTGCTGGATTTGTGGGGTTAATTAATGTCGAAAAGGTAGCAAGGGAAGCTAATGTGCTTAGAATACTTTACTAGGGGGTGGCCATTTCAGTCATACTGCTCTTCTTGATTAAGCTCAGTTGTTTATAATTTCTTGTCATCTACTGGCATAGGATTGACAAGTGAGCTTATAATTAAAAATGAAAACCATATACAAACCAATTGTAGCACCCAGTTATGGGTGATTATGCATCTAGATGGCAACCCAATTGATCAGCACCAAAAAATTAAGTTATTGATGTTGGTTCGTGATTTGCAGGTTTGATTGGAGGTGTTACTAAGCGTATGCTTCTGTTGCTGTTGATGGCACATTCTTTTAACTTGGCCAGTGTTTCTCTGTATTGTTTGATTGTACTGTGAGTCTGTGACCTGACATTACTGTCCAGTCATCATGGCATTTCCTGTATTGTTTGATGTGGATGGTTAAATTTCCTTCTTTGTAGGCTTCAGTGACAATTTCCTTCTTTCCTTTTGTTGATGAATCTCTACTTTGCTCCTTTTTTGAAAGTTTGATAGGATTTTTTGATTGGCTTCCTATCTCAATATAGGTCGCAATTGTGTCCTTTCGCTTGACCTAGCTGTCCTTAACTTACGACTGGTTAGTAATATATAGTAAGGAAATCCTTGTACCGAGCTATCCTAGAGACCTTTTACTCCCATCCATATGTTGCATTTGGATGAATTGCTGGAACTATAAGAATGGGTCTGTTTTCATATTTCGCATTTCTTGTCACCATCTCTAGCTGGTGTATAGTGGCCGTAGGAAGTTTTATTCGAAGTTGCTGGCCTTTTTAATTAGTTTTCCTGCATATGGTGTTAGAGTTTGTGCTACAAAGTCAATGCACATGCTATGGGATGGTAGAATAATCATGTGTGTGATCATATTCATAATCATGGATTTACCATGATTACAGTAGTTGAAGAAAACAGTGTTCATTTTCCCCCACTCAAATCGTATGCAGAAAACTAGTAATGTGAATGAATGTGTAGGGTTAAGATGCTTCGCTGTGGAGCAATGAAACTGATGAATAATTAACAAGGAACTGCAAAGCTAGTGAACATTTTTCCAGCATATAATGTTGTATCTCTCTTGGGTGAAGAATGTTTTATTTTCCGAAGAAAGAAGGAATCGCAATTGATACTGCCTTTGCTTTTAGAGCTTCCAAGGGTAATTAATTGTTCCAATTCTGTTCATTCATATAGTCTCTTACCGTGAGCTTGGAAGTATTAAAGAGTTTGTCTTTTCATCCCATTCGATCGAGAACTTCATTTATGTACATCTTCATGTGCATCCAAAGTTGTCTCGCTTTACTGCTTTACATGGTGATTACTGCTTGAAATCTGTGCATTTATAATCTTTATTGTGGAGTGTGTGAAGTGATAAGAGTCTTCTGAACTTAATTTTATTCTTTCCGATTCTGCAGCAGCATGTTCTTTGTGTCTTCTGATGTATGTATCTCGGCTGTACGCATTAAGCTTCTAGTATGGGTCTTTTCCTTATCGGTTAAATATTGTGTATTGGTTCTTCATTTTTCTGATCTCAGCTTCCTGATATCTGATTATTATATATAAAAAAATTCATGTTATCTCATCCTTCGACTTGTTGATCTGGTAGCTTTCCCCGTGATACTCTAGAATGAATCCGTTTCTGCCAGCAGCATGTTTTTTTTTTTTTTTTGTTTTTTTGTTTCTTCTGCATGTTCTGTATGTATTTCAGCCCTAACTGATTCTCATTTAGCTTCTAGTATCAGTTCTTTTTCTTTAAGGTTAAGAGTTGTGTGTATTGGTTCTTCATCTTTCTGTTCTGGAGATATTCCAAGCTACCAATTGTTGAGCTTTCTGACTTTGCTGGAAAGCATTCTAGTCGCTAGGTTAAGTAGTTCTCTCTGTTGTACTCCCAGAATGCTCAGAATGTTGCTTTCATAGTCTATTAGTTTCTTGTTTTTTCTTACCGACTACTAGTCTGCCATAGTTGTGAATCAAAAGGTGATTGAATGGATTTAATCATGTGCAGCTTTGGATTGGGGAGTCATGTTCGAGGAAGACCCAAGGAGCATAATCTCGCACATTGAGCTCTCGATCTTCGACAAAGTCTCTGATTCTAATAGCACCACCCGTCGCCACCATCTGAACCCACCAAACAGCAAGCGTGCTCGATTCTCCACCACCACCAATAATACCTCCACATCATCCAAGTTCAAAGGCGTGGTACCACAGCAAAATGGCCACTGGGGATGCCAAATCTATGCCAACCATCAAAGAATCTGGCTCGGCACATTCAAAACTGAGAGCGAAGCAGCCACAGCCTATGACAGCGCTGCCCTCAAGCTCCGCAGCGGCAATGGTGGAGACAACATTACTGTGAGGCGTAACTTCCCTCTCAATACCTTCACCGCCCAAGAACCCGAGTTCCAGACCCACCACACCTTGGAAGCCATCCTCAGCATGATCAAGGATGGCACTTACCAGTCCAAGTTCGCTGAGTTCATCATCTCTCGGGTGGGCACCACCACTGAGCTGACCCTCAACCTCCCACCTAGGCCGAGAATGATGTCATGCGGTGATGTCAGCTGCAGGCGGTTGTTCCAGAAGGAGCTGACACCGAGCGATGTAAGCAAGCTGAACAGGCTGGTGATTCCAAAGAAGTATGCAGTGAAGTATTTCCCCAGGGTGCCTGATGAGGTTGTAGCAAGTGGCAACAACAATGTGGGTGAGGAGGAGAGCAATCTGCTGCTGAGCTTCTACGACAGTTCATTGAGGACGCTGTGGAAGTTTCGGTATTGTTATTGGAAGAGCAGCCAGAGCTTTGTGTTCACGAGAGGGTGGAATCGGTTCGTGAAGGAGAATGGGCTCAAGGCCAACGATACCATAACTTTCTGCTTGTGCGAGAGGCATGGGGGTGGAGAGGTGGGAACTGTCGAGACGTTTTTCATGATCGACGCGAGCAACTGTAAGGAGCGCGGGAATCCTCAGCCGGGTTCAATGGTGAATCTGCAGTTAGGCAGCGCTAGGAGATCGAGTAGTACTGTTCTTTGCAGTGAAATTGACGAGATCAAGGAGCAGCTGAGGGCTGCTGATGATGAAAAGAAGGGGATTAAGCTCTTTGGAGTGACGATAGCTTGATCCTTAACAGTTAACAGCTTTAGGACTATGGCTCAAAACATTTCATGTGATGGTATATGGAGTAGAATTAATCTGGATTTTGATGACAGGTTTAGGGCTGAATTTTGTTGTGGCCCAAACTCGAATGTGCAAGATCAGTAAGAAGTAAAAAGCTTCTATCTTGGCAAAGCTGCAGCCTTATGTGGTTTCTGCAGTTCATCCTTTGCTTTCATTTTAACTTTCACGGCTTAAGTTTTTGCTTCTTTGGTGGGTTCTACATCAATTTGAATTAGATCGATGAGTCGATCCACATATACGTCTTGCTTTTACTGATATACTGCTAGATGCATGTAACTTTGGTTGCTGTATGGTGGTGGTGCTTAATGTACATAAAATGTCCATTAGAAGTGCATTGATACAGACCTGCCTGAAAGGTAAGTTTTTGCTAGAATGCATGATCGGCGAATTGAGCTTCGGGCTAGGAATCTTTCTGCGTTTGTGATGTCATATCGTATCGGTATCAGTACGATCATTGAATGTGTACCGAGGATCAAGTTGATACTGGCTGTTATCATGGCGTGTGGTGGTCCTGTTGTAATTCTTCTTTCTACAAGAATCATGAATTGTTATGGATATTTGCTCTTTGGTATTCCTACTGTTGATCATTAGGGCGACACTTTGCTTGAGAAACTGGAGATAACTCCGGCTGCACTGCAACTTTGGTTTTTGCAGCGACAGTTATAGTGAGTCTCGACCTGGCCCGTAATGATTATTGGATCAGTTTGTCTTGAATTATTGCCATCTGGGCCCATTTTCTACTACCAAGAAAAGTCACGCCCATGCCGTGGGCCCTGCAGACAAAAAGCGTCATCCGGGCCCATTAATACCGTCTTTGAGTTCAAGTGGGCTGGGCCATCAAGTGTGTGTGTCCGGAGAGGAGATGTTGATTGAGGCATTGAGCGATTTTGATTATATGCCGAACATTTTACCATCCCAACTCAACGAAATTGGTGATAGTTTAGAAGAGATAAAAAATAAAAAACCTTTCTATGTTTGTAAAATTGTATCAGAAGTTATAATGGACTAGTTAGTGACTTAGTGATACAAATGTGATTCAATCTATATCATATCAGTATAATATTGTTGTTAAAATAAAAGAAATAATATAATATATTCAAATAGTATTGTTCCGGCGGTGTTCTAGTGCCAAGTCGGCCAGTTTACGAATAATTGTTAAGTTAACAGTATAAAACCGTATGATATGATACTTTCACAATATTTGTGTATATTTTTTACCTTGATGACACAACAAATAATTTTTACGGTCCAACCAACAATACAATACAATTTAATAATGCCCGCTTTTGGTTTGGTTAGTCTCGACTCTCGTCATGCTTGCTAATCTACATTCTACAGTTAGTAGCATGCCTCCATAATTGATTCAATAATTCATATAAAAAATGATCAAAATTTTGAAAAAGAACAAAAGGTACTTAAGTGATAAACAAAAAAATATTAATCTAAACTGCAAAGCTATATTTAAATACATTATCATATTCTATCTACACAAGTATGCATTGCATACAAGTATATACCAAGATCATAACACATGGAACTTGTCTCACAATAATTGATGTGGTAGTTGGACTATTCTAATGTAAATAATTACACTTTTATAATAATAAAATTTTATTATCATTTTATATTGTGAATTTCGTAAGAATTTATAATGCAAAGATGCAATAATAACATGGTAATTCCACAATCGAGTACGTGAGTCATATCGTTTAAAGCTAACGTCAGAAATCATGATCCCAAAAATTTAAAAACTATTAATAAAAATGTTGAACCAGTTACGTTGTCACGATTATTTATAATTCATTACCAGTGCGGTAAAATTGATTATTTTTTGTATGAGCTGGTTAGATACTCAGAATAAATATTTTTTTTAAAAGACCCAAAATAACTATTATAACAAAATAATATATCCATGGAATATGGTTTCAATAATTGCAATATTAATCATTTTTGGGTAATGATTTAGCAGTCCCTCCCTCCCCCTTGCAAGACCTTCCCCAAACAGTTGTGAAATATCAGAGAATCTCTAGAACTATATATATTCAATTATATATGTCATGTCTTATTTTTATTTAATTTTCTCTTCAGTGGAAGCCTAATTAAACTAATTATCATTTATTTGATTGGAAAATTATTTGATTGAAAAAAAAAAAAAAAACATAACTAGAGTACATAATCGGTACGAGGTGCACTTAATGGAACTTGTTCTCCAGCTTAAGCTACTTGGATTTCTTTTCTTCCAATCCACTAAATTATGATATTTTATATAAATTTTTAAAAAGTGATTTGTTTATGCTAAAGCGCATAAGAAAATTTATTCAAGATACTTATTAAAAATTAATTATACATTAAATGAATTTTTAAAAGTCACAAAATACCCGACTATTTTCCTATGAATACTTTTAGCTAAATGCTAGATAATTATTTTCGACATATATATGGCATCGTTAATTTTTGTATAAATAATAGTGTGCCTGTTTTTCCTCTCCTTCCTATTTCTAGCCTATCATTAGAATAGAGGTTTAGATAATTAGGATGGATTATTGAATTAGTTGATGCTCTTGTTTCCTTGAGATGCATGAACTTTTCTTATAAAACCTAAAGGGTGAAATATTTAATGGATTCCTCAAGTACATTTCTGCCATTTATTATACAAACATGAACAGCATCAATAACAGTTACCACCAATAATAACGTTCCTTGCAATGAATCATGAACTATACAACTAAGTACATTACCAATCAAGCATGATTCTACTCGATTATGCAATATAATGGTGACTAATACCAACTATAATCGATATTTTTATGGTAATCATACTACCTTCTATGAGTGATCGCTTTCCATTTTCCTTGCCACCCTCAATTTGGTCTGGTTTTGAAGGTATGTTATTTGAGTTTGATACTAAAAATTTGCTAACTATAGCAATATTAGTGGCCTAACTTAGCAAGTTAATCTGCAACGATATTTTCCCATGTGGATATGCGGATTTCTAAATTCCAGAAATTTAATTTCGAAACATGTTACAGGATCATAGATATAAAATCGGTAATGGTTCGTATGAATAATAATCATTAATTTCATGATATATCTGAATTCTTATTTTTTTATATGAATTTTTTATTTTAAGAAGGTATATAATTAAAAATACGCAAAAAAAAAATTGATATAATGGGATGAACCAAGGGGATTGACTAGCTATTTTGTGTGAAATCGTGATTTAGTCGAGGTCCAATCATATGTATTATATTGCTAAACTACCTTCAATTTAGTCTCCAATATCCGGATTTCCGACCCAAACGGCCTATCTAATACCATTTCTAAAACATTACTATTTTGTCCACATGTTTTTTTGTTATACCAATTAATCTACCACCGGTTCAAGAAAGAAATTACAATCTAAACCACCCGTTTTAGGTCGGTATCTAACTATCTATGGTTCTAATTTCGACTTGACTTAGTATGTAAACAACCTAGCTTTTGGCTTGGTCCAAGTTGTCTGAAACACCAATTCGTGGCCCTTAAAATCACAAGGATCGAAAATCCACCAAACTAAGCTCAATTTCATTAGGTGGAGTTTACTTAATCTGTGATTTCCATATTAATCAAGGTCTTGCATTAAGGAGATGGATATCTGATTTAGCGAAACTTCTAACACTAAAGATACTTTTGTTTTTTTGAACGATTTGATTTTTACATTTCTCTCTTTAAATCAAGAACGTAATTCAGTTATGTGTTGGACATGTTAGAAAATACGATCATCAGGTTCAATCTATTTTTTATCTGTCTAGTGTCCACATCCTATACTTTGCATATCGTTCTTGATGAGAGGTCATCTTGTCACGTCTAATTTAAATTTTCATCCTCTCGCGTTCCAGCCACCGACTAAGTCAAGGATCGTGTACAACTGTCGACGAGTTTCCGACTCTCGACTAATTTCGAATGGCAAATATAAGTGCTTCCTTACTTCAATGAGAACAAGGCAACAACTAAACAGGTTAGAATTCGGCTAGTTAGGGCCGACTCCATATATTTCCCATTGCTGCTCTCCTTCTAATGAAAGAACATGCTCCTCTAAACTTAAAGGAAAGATGGGGAACAGGTTGCAAGTTGCAAAGCTATTATTGCTAGCGTAACGTCGATACACAGAGCCAAGCTGCAAGTTGCAGAGGGATACTGCCAAAACAGAGAAAGGTGGCAGACCACCAAATTCAACAAAGCTTTCTCGAACTAACTTATACCAAGGTGCATTGCTTTCGTTCTGTACACATTCACGTCAGCCTGTATCGTTATACTAAAATCCTCTTTCAGGACCACACAGACGATCTTTCACTCTCTCCCTTTCTCTCTCAGAACCAGGTTTTCCGTCGATCACTCATGTGGTAGATTCGTCTGCAGGCTGGCCCTTCACCGGCGCCGGATTGTATATTCGCCTGCCTCTGTTTCACCCATGTGCTTTTCTTCTCCCCACTCTCAAGTCTCAACTACCAGTCAGCCTCCAAATCTCAACCAAGAAGAACAAGACATTCATCTTCCCACTTGCCTTCTTGAAGTAGATTCCTTTGCTCCAAGCAATCAACCACACAGGTTAATAGGATCCAAGCTTCGAAATTACAGCATCTTGTTCTGGATGCTATGATGTATGAACAGTACTCTGCATGCTGAACAGTAAAAAAATGGATGTCGACATATTGATATGGACTATCCGTCTTCATTACAAGCCAAAACATCACTACAGCATCTTAATTTGCTATAGTCTAAGCCGCTTGTTACAAGTTGCTTCTAGTCAATAATTCAAGTTGCGAGGAGAAAATATGGATCCAACCACGATGTTGAACACCAATTTCGTCTTGAAGAAGAACAACTAATCTCGACGAATCAGAATCAAACGATGATAATAGTGTCATTATGATAAGTAGAATTCCTTATGGTTTCCACTAACCAAGGGAAAGGAGCATGTAGAGGTGAAAAGTCACATTCTTTGCAATTGATGATGATAAAGAGATTTGAGGGAGAATTGGATTTTGGAGATGTCACCCTCTGTACTAAAAAGTTCATACAATATGTATATACCACAACGACAGCTTTCCTTCAACCAATTCATTCATGGCGATTGGAACCCATCATCAACATCATCATCATCTAAACAAACGTACACAAAAGCAAACAACTTTCACAAACGGATGAACAGAAAAGCTCAACAAATCGAACTCCAATGACCAACAATGGCGGAAAATATCGATTTACCCAAAACAAATCCTAAATCCCAACAGCACAAGCTACAGAAATTCATTTTTCAACAATTATTAAGCAACTGTGGCGTGGTCGATGGCGGCGGCGGAAGTCCAGACGATGTCCTTCAGCGCCGGCCTGAGCTCTTTGGAGCAGAACTGGTTGTACTCCAGAGTATCTCCGTTATCCTTCTTCACTTCCACCACCAGAAACGATGGAGTCACGGCGAAAATCTCGGCCTGAATCCCGAGCTTCCCCTTTCTCCCGCTCTCTCGTCCTTGCAGCTTCACCTTCGTCTCGCTCTTCTTCACGCTGAACTTCCCGGCCTTCCCGACCTCCTCCAGCCTCGATATCACGCTGCTCGCCGGCCGGGTCGTCGCGAATCTCAACTCTTCCTTCTCCATCCTCTTCTTCTGCTCGAACAGCGGCGAGAGGTCGAATCCTTCCGATAGCGAGATTATGTGGAACGCGTTCAGCGTCTCCGGCAGCTGCTTCGACTTCTCTGCTGCGGATTTGGATTCATCTACGCAGTCGAATGCGTCGAATTCGATTTCTTCCTTGGTGCGGATGGTTTTGGGGATGGATTTTCTGAACCATGTCGACTCCATGACTTTGGAGATGGCGATTCGGCTGGCCGGATTGGGGTCGAGGAGCTTGGTGATCAGGCGGCGGGATTCGGAGGAGAACCACGGCGGGCACTTGAAGTCTCCTCTGTAGATTTTTCTGTACATAGCTACCAGATTGTCGTCCTGGAAAGGGAGGAATCCGGCGAGGAGGACGTATAGAATCACGCCGCAGGACCATAAATCGGCTTTCGCACCGTCGTAGCCCTTCTTCCCGATGACCTCCGGCGCGACGTACGCCGGCGTGCCGCAGGTGGTGTGGAGGAGGCCGTCCTGCTTCAAGTGCTCGGAGAAGGCGCTGAGCCCGAAATCGGTGACCTTCAAATTACCTTCCTCGTCGAGCAGGAGATTCTCCGGCTTCAGATCTCGGTGGTAGACGCCGCGGCTGTGGCAGAAATCGATGGCGGAGATCAGCTGCTGGAAGTAGACTCTCGCGGCGTCTTCTCTCAGCCGTCCCCTCGCGATCTTGGAGAAGAGCTCGCCGCCGCGGACGAGCTCCATGGCGATGTAGATCTTGGACTTGCTCGCCATCACCTCGTGGAGCTCGACGATGTTTGGGTGTTTCACCATCTTCATGACCGAGATCTCGCGCTTGATCTGGTCCATCATCCCGACTCGGATCACCTTCTCTTTTCCGACGACCTTCATCGCCACGCTCTTGCCGGACTGGAGGTTCCGGGCATGGTACACCTTCGCGAAGGTGCCGTGGCCGAGCATCCGGCCGAGCTCGTATTTCCCGTGGAGCAAAGTCGGCTGGCCGTCTCTGCTTCTCTCCGCCATTGTTTTACAGATCTCGATTCTGCTGCGGAACTGACTAACTACTCTCAAAGACTATGCACAAGAGAAAAAAATTGAAGATAGGAGGGGAAGGATTGAAGCGGAATCGCGCCTGAGAGAAGAATGGCGGAGGGCGAAGGCCGGGGATCACCCGTCCTCGACGTGTTTCCGGTGGCAATTCCGGCCGCCGATGCACCTCTGGGCGCGGATGCACAGCTCAGGATTTCGCAACGAGGCTCCTATCATCTCTCTGCATTCCCCAAGAGAGGAATTGAAGAAATTAGGGTTTTTACGAAGAGGGAATTTTATTTCTCCGGCGGTGGCGAGGACAGAGATATATATCGGATTTCCGTTCTCTCTTTCTTTTTTTCTTCTGGTACGTCGCGGCGGCCGGCGTTTTTATAGGGCCGTGAGGGGAGTGGTGTGTGGTGGAGAATTTACCGTCGTGACCCTGTGGACTGAGGCGGTACGAATCGTGGGGCTGTGATCCGACGGCCTGGGACACATGGAGTGATCTGGACGGTTGGATTGTAGTTTTTGTTTTATTCACGGAATTGACACGGGGACACTTGTGATGTTCTTACTGGCGTTGGAGGGTGTGAAGGACTTGGAAGTATTGAACGGAAACCGCCCCTGATTGTTGCTGGCTGTTTACCATACTACCCCTGTCAACTCCAATTAATTGCGCATAAATATTATGGTGTCTTTTGAGTTTTTGAACCTAACCCGATAATCGAACTAGTGTGACTAATAAGTTTCTTTTGTATCTTAATTGTCGAGTCGTGAAATAATTGTGATACATTCTAATCACATTTTTGTAAAACCAAACCGAAGCAATCTTTTTAGCTTGGGGTTCGATTGATATTATTCGTAGTGTCTAATAATGGTTACTATGTGCATATCAAATTGTCTCTTGTGTGTCTTGCATGTCATTTGACTGAACCAGTACACAATTAAACGGTCGGACACTACATTTTTTAGAACACATCATGTTTTAGACGTGTCTCAATTCCCTTTGATTGCGAGCTAGTCGTTGGTAACTGTGTCGATAAAGATTCAGAAAGGTACTGGAATCAGGTTGGTTGATGCATCATCAGAATTCTATTTTGCCTGTTGTTAGTATGAAATGCAAGGTTAATTACTGAGAAATCCTAGCTCCGAGAAGGAGTTAGGTTGCACCTGTACTCAAAACACATTGACCAGTGCGACAATAACCACGATGATTTATATTTCACATCAATACATGCATCTAAACGACCTATGAAAGATAATCCATAATTAAGACTCACATCGTTACATATACATCTATAAAAGACCTATAGAAGATAATCAATAAGTTAGATCAGAAGTTACATCACCATGTGTGATACTCTTAGAATTTACATAATGAGTGAGCAAGTTTTAAACTAGCTAGAGAGGGTTTAGCGTTATTCTATATGGCCCTTTTACTGTTCTTTTTCTCGGTCATTCTGTACCATGCATCCTTCCTCTCAATAATTCTTGACTGGTGGATCCCGCCGGCCGCAAAGTGGCAAGCAAATAGTGTGGGTGGAATTTTCGTTAACCTACAAGTGGTGAAATGGTGACTAATCGACTGTGTGTATATAGACCAGTAGTGATAAGCTTATATATATGTGATCCTGTTCTGATATGTATTAGGGTGGAATAAGTGATCTTTTTCCCCGAATGGATACAAAGATTAGAGAAAGCAACATGGTACTAGTAGAGCAGTACTATGACTAGGGGTATGCATCCGTATCAACCGAGTAGCGCAGTCCAATAATTAAATATATTTTAGTATCAAGGACGGGATCTGTCTAATCGGGGTGCTCAATTAGTACGATATTATCCGCTTTGGGTCAAGTCCGCACGGTTTTACTCTTCGGTTCCTCCCCAAAGGGCCTCATACTAATTGGGCTTGGTGGACACTAATATACAAGGGTCTCTTCCTTTGTATTACCGATGTGGTGCTTGGATTGTCCCATAACAATCCTCCTCTCAAGACAATGATCACGAACTTCGTGTCCTCACCCCAGCGATTGTCTTGATCTGCCAGACGCAGAACTCTCTTTGATCTGTTTCCCAAATGCGGAACTCTCTTTGATACGCCAAGCCCAAACGTAAATCTCTCCTGGATCCACCAAACAGACGCGAACCTCACTTGATCCGCCAAACCAGATGTAGCCTAAATGTGGATCCACCAAACCAAACGCAGATCTCAAACCCGAGGTCAGCAAATCATGGTCCACCAAACTGACGTCCACCGCCCCGCACCGAACCAAACTCTGACACCACTTGTCAAACCGGGGTGCTCAATTAGTACAATATTGTACGCTTTGGGCCAAGCCCGCACGATTTTACTCTTGGTTGTCCTCCCCAAAATGCCTTGTACTAATTGGGCTTGGTGGACACTAATATACAAGGATCCCTTCCCTTGTATTACCTATGTGATACTTGTGTTGTCAAAAAAAAAAAATGTGATACTTGTATTATCCCATAACTAGGGGTAGGGGTGGGCATACGGTTCGGTAAAACCGAACCTAACTGAACCGAATATAAACCAAACCGAAACCGAATTAATGTTATTCGGTTCGAAATTCGGAAGAGAAAAGGGCATATTTCGGAAATTAGGGTCCTTTCGACAGAACCGAATTTCCGAATTCTGAACCGAAAAACCGAATTATTATAATTGCAAGCTCCAAAAGGTGGATTTTTATGTTTCTACTTATTGTGAGACTTAAATATTTGAATCACGTCAGTGTTTTATGACTTATGTGTTGAAATATTTGATTTTATCATTGATATGCATATTTATTGTTTACTTTAGGGGTGAAAAACAATTTAAAAAAGAGAAGATACAAGCAAACCTCACAAGTTCGGTTTTGTATGAAAAACCGTACTGAATTATAATTCGGTTCGAATTCGATTTGAGGTTTGATAGAATTCGGGGACCCGGTATGCATAATTTTGGTTCGGTTTGAACCGAACCGACCGAATGCCCACCCCTAATTAGGGGTGGTAAACGGTAAGCCGGTAAACAGTTTACCGTTTTACTGAACCGGTACCGGCAGCCGAGCGGGAACTTGGGCGACTCGGTTTACCAGACACAGTATCGGTAAATACCGACGGTAAGTTGGTAATACCGATACCAAAACCTCCCCTGTGCTGCGCCGCGTTTTGCTTGGCCCTCCCAAACCCTAGGAAAACTCCTATCCAACCACCACGCCCGAGTCCCGACCTCTCCTCTTTTTGTTTTCTTTTCGAGACCGCGCCGCGCAGCCACCTCTCCAGCTCGCCTCCTCTCCTCTTCCTTCGCCTGATCACCTCTTCTTCTGCTGGAGGTGACGACCGTCGAGCGACGGCGACGGCGACGAGCTACTCACGCGCTTCCCCTGACTCAGCCCTCCCTGACTCTCGTCTCTCCCTTCCCTCGCCGACGTGCGACGCGACACCAGTCACCAGCCCTTCCCAGTTTCCAGTCCTCCTCCGCCACCTTCCGGCTTCCCCGCCGTCCGACGTCGCTTCTCACGGTATTTCGGTAATACCGGTTTGTAACCGTTTTACCGGTAATCGGTAAACCGGTTACAAACCAGTATCGGTAATCGATTCAAATTTAGCCACTGTCGGTATACCGAAACCGATAAATTCGGTAAACGGTTTACCGTTTACCAACTGAATACCACCCCTACCCATAACAGGATCAACTATGCATTTGGGTAAGTTGGTTCAGTCCATTTTATTCAGTGTTTATACAATTCATGGGACTAGAGATCAAGGACCGGACCATGTTATATTCTGTTCGCTATGGTCCGCTCCAAGAGTAGATTTGGCCCAATTTAGTCAATTATGAATCAACCTAATCAGATCGAACCGTTACACAACCTATAAAATGAGTGCTGGAATTGTTACTTGATTATATATAAGAATATATTTGAGAATTTAATGGCCACTTCTATTTTCCTAATACTAACTTAATTAACTTCTTTATTTGGATAAGAATAGATGGTACCAAATCTAAAGATAAGATTACCTTTTGGAAAAAAATTTGTAGAGATAAGCTTTGCCAAATGCCAACTAATCACTAATGTATGGCATGTGGGTTAATTAGAGGGTGACTTTTTATGGTATTAAGCTAGCAAGCAAGGAGTGAAGAGATTAACTTTCTCTACTAATCTTTCTTTTCCCAGATAAGAATGATTTTTTAGCTGTAATTATTTGACAAAGACCAATAATTAACTTCATTGAGGGTACTTTGCTTTGCTTCTTGGAGTCACCTTTGTTCAATTATATGTCCAATATAAAAGGGTGATTTATCAAATTAGGTCGGCTGTGATTTTCAATTTGATCACACACGATGTATGATGATTAAACCTACTCAAAACGTTTATCTTATTCTTTGTTATGTTGATTATCCTCTTTTCCCAATTATGTCATGTAGAATACACAAAACTTAAGAAAACGACGCAGTTTACAAATCACACCTTAAAACTTGTTAGAGCACAACACAATGATATGCAAGCATGGTGATGGATTCTCGGAAACTTTGAATTTTGCACAAATGTTGTTGAAAATACATATTATTACGCATTCTTGTATAAGATAAGGTCCGTAATGACACGATCCGTATCAAAATAAGGAATTTATGAAAATGAGCGAGCATAATAGAGAGAGTTTGAGAAAGACAAGCAAAAGCTAAGGCAAGTGGGCAATAATAAAAAGCCTAATTGGGTCATTAAAATTGAAATATTACTTATTTGTGTAACAAATGGTAGTACTTTGTCTCAAAGTGACAACGCTATAATAAGCAGGTGAAAAAGCCAAAATCGTTTTGGGTTAATCACGTATAATTAATCATCCCACTTGCCTTTGTAACATGAAATACATCCTAAAGCATATAATTTCATCATCAAATTCATTCCTATCCAAGGTTGTTATAATGTTGTAGTAGATCGAGTTCATTCACATAAGTACTTACTATTACGTCTTGATACACAGTCGCATGT